CTACCCAGGGCGACAGCTTGAGACTCTGTCTCAAAAAAAAAAAAAAAAGAAAAGAAAAGAAAAAAACCATGGAATTAGGAGAATAGGGGATTAACTAAGGATTGACTGCTATTGTTAATAACTCTCAACGGGAGTTCATAGAAAGCCAATAACTGAGACAACCAGGATTGTCAAGGAAGAAAGGATTTATTGCAGGAGATTCATCCATTGGGAGGGGGAGATATAGACGGTCTCAAATCTGCCTCCTTGACCAACAGGGTCAGAGGGATTAATTAATTAATTTAGAGAAAAAGTCTAACTTTGTTGCCCCTGGTAGAGTGCTGTGCTGTCATAGCTCACAGCAACCTCAAACTCTTCGGCTCAACTGATTCTCTTGTCTCAGCTTCCTGGGTAGCTGGGACTATAGGCGTCCGTCCCAATGCCTGGCTATGTTTTTTAGAGACAGGGTGTTGCTTTTTCTCAGGCTGGTTTCAAACTGGTGAGCTCAGGTGATCCACCCACCTCAGCCTCCCAAAATGCTGGGATTACAGGCATGACACACTACACCTGGCCTATTTTTTTATTTTTGAGATAGAGTCTCATTTTGTTGACCTGGGTAGAGTGCTGTGGCATTTAAACTCACAGCAACCTCAAACTCTTGGGCTCAAGAGATCCTCTTACCTCAGCGCCCTCCCCCCCCCCCACAATAGCTGGGAATATAAGCGGCCACCACAATGCCTAGCTAGTTTTTCTATCTTTAGTAAAGACAAGGTCTTGCTCTTGCTCAGGTTGGTCTGGAACTCATGGGCTCAAGCAATCCACTTGCCTTGGCCTTCTGGAGTTCTAGAATTACAGGTGTGAGCCACCACACCCGACCTTGGGTCAGGGTTTTTTTATGGAGGTGAAAATAAATGAATCATCAATGAGGAGATGAGGAGAATGAGCATCATTACATATTTGGGGGTGGAACACCAGGGACACAACAACAGTGAGAAATCGTGCCAGTATATAAAACATCCCATGAACAAAAAAATGATGGATAAGTCCCTTCCAGGACGGGGACTTTGGTATTATAATAAGCCAGTGGTTAATACTGGTCATTCTTTTAGCCTCGTGTATAGGGTCAACAGGTCCTCAGGCATAGTCTGTGGTGGTGTATCATTTATCTTGTCTTTTCCAGACAAAGAGGAGGTGTAAGACTATGTCATTATCTCATAGCTAAAAGGAGGTTCTGCCATTCCTGGGAAAGAAACTCAGAAGGGAATGAATTAGTGCAACGGAGAGTTACCAAGTTCTGGTCAGGAATTCTTACTGGCCTGGGAACTTAAAATATAAGAGAAGTACCAAAACCCAGCCACTAGCCAAGGTTTTGATTCTCACAGAAATTAGTCTGTATGCTTGGCCGAGCAAGGTGGCTCACACTTGTAATCTTAGAGCTCTGGGAGGCTGGGGTGGGTAGATTGCTTGAGGTCATGAGTTCAAGACCAGCCTGAGCAAGAGTAAGACTTTGCCTCTACTAAAAATAAGAAAAGCTAGCCAGGCTTGTGGCCGGTGCCTGTAGTCCTAGCTGATTGGGAGGTTGAAGCAAGAGGAGTGCTTGAGCCCCAGAGCGTGAGGTCGCTGTGAATCATGAAGCCACCGCACTCTATCCAGGGCGACAGAGTAAGACTGTCTTAAAAAAAAAAAATTAGATTCTCAAAAGTAATATATATGTATGTTTGCTTGTTTTTTTTTTTTTTTTT